TATTCCAAGCCCAACTGTTACCACTACTTTGTTACTAATATTATTTTTGTGTATTTCGTTGGACATTTTCTTAGCTCAACCTTTTCTTCATTCTCTTCACCCACTCACTATATAGCTTACTTTACTACTTGTTTCCATGCTCTTTGATTGACATACAATTTTTGTGAACATTTTCCAACCCCCCCCTCCTCACCGCCTAGTTGACTATTCATCACTGATTTGAAATATTTTGATGATGTAAACAATACTTCAAACTCATTTATATTCTTTGTCCTACGTTTGACAGACTGAATGTACACGCACGCACGCACACACACATACAGAAATAATTGTACATAATTGCAATTTTACCGTTGAGTAGTAAATGAATTAGCCAAAAAAAGGGGTCTTTAAGTGTTGGTTTGTAGGGATTTGATTGGCTTCAGGATTTCATCATGAGCTGACATTAGTTAGAGAACCATTGGAAAACCAGCACTGGAGTACTGGACAGCTGTTTCGTCCTAGTTTGGGACTCTTCATCAGTACGCGCCCACCAGGGCTCGAACACAAGACCTTCCGGTTACAAGGCGAGGTCGTATACCATTAGGCCACTGAGACCCGATCCAATGACTAGTAGGGTGTAGCGGGTCGGGTGTGAGGACAAATACTCGCCGAAGACATTGGCTGGCAATCGCGCTATGTCGTGAAATGGCAGAAGTTAGAATTCAAGGACCATTGGACCGGGTCGAAATGGCTTAATGGTATTCGACCTCGCCTTATAACCGGAAGGTCGTGGGTTCGAACCCCGGTGGGTGCGTACTGTGAAGAGTCCCACACTAGGATGAAAAGGGAGTCTCTTCGCTAAACCATTTATTCTTAAAGCAATTAGTTCCCTTTATGAACTTCTACAACACAATAAGAAGACCTAGTTTATCTGAAACGTGTAATGTATTGGCGCAACACATTTAGGACATTCTGATCACACACACGTACATGTCATACACAGTTTTTACAGAAGGCATGAATAATTACAATACAGGTCAGATTGTGTACAGGTCAAGGTCACAAGATGTTGAATCTTTATTTACAAATGTGCCTCTTTTACAGACGGTTGACATTTTATGTGATTACATCTCTGACAACGAATTCCTTTTACCAATATCAATACCTTACTTAAAAGAGTTACTACTTCTTTGTACTAACAATGTTAAGTTAACATTCGAGGGCGAGCATTATCGATGGGGTTGCCATGGGAAGCCCCCTAGGTCCATTGTTAGCTGATATATAAGTGTCGCATGTCGAGAACCTAGTGGAGAAAGAAATTGGAAAAGTTTATTTTTATAAAAGATATGTAGATGACATAACAGTCATTTGTGACAAACTGACAGAAGCCATAGAAATCCTGGACCAGATCAACAGAGCACAAAACAGTATACCGCTAACATACCCTAAAGAGAATAATGGTTGCCTGCCATTTTTAGATATACCGATAACCCACCACCGACGAGATGGGTCAGTAAAACGATCTCTGTACAGAAAGTCCACATGGACGGGACAGTATCTAAATTATCATAGTTTCTGTCCACTACAGTATAAAAAAGCGTTGGTTAAATGTTTGTTCAAGCGCATTCACCGCATATGTACTGCTGACACAATTGAAGAAGAAAGACAACACCTCACTGAAATACTGTTAGATAATAATTACCCACTGAGATTTATTAGATGTTACGGAAGTGTCAATCATAGCGCTTTACCAATCCAGTCAACTCCCAAAAAAGATGTTTGCATATCCTTGCCGTTCAGAGGTGATCAACAAAGTCTGGTCACTAGACAAAGACTCAAAGCAGCCATTAATATAACTTATTATGCAGCTAAACTTATCTTCACAGAGAAAACGAGAACCATGCTGTTCTGTAAACCCTCACATTATCCGAATGATAGTGGCACATCCCACTGTTTTTGTCAATTTACATGAATGTGTGGAGACGCGTACATAGGGAGGACCCATCGGTCTCTGCAGGTTTGGGTTACAGAACACATTCCAAAGTGGCTGCAACAACAAATGAAATCGCCAGACACAATTGACCCCGGAAATAGATGTCCAACATCATTTATAGCGAAGCATATTATAGAGACGGGTCACAAGGTCGATTTCAACAATGCCTTTAAGCCGATATATAAAACAAAGTTGGGCCACATACTTAAATTCATTGAAGTGGTAGCCATTAAAAGACTTAGACCTGTCTTATGAATCCAAAAGTTACTTGTTATCATCTTAAATCTGCCTTGGTAATCCAAGCTAGCACCAATTTACTTCACAATATTTTCAACCCCTTCTTTGCTTTGTATTTCTCTTTTTATCTTTCTCACCCACACCTTTTAGGTCTCCCCACCCATTATTTGTGACCTTGACCTAAATACAATCTGACCTGTATTGTAAATATTCCTGCCTTCTATAAAAACTGTGTATGACATGTATGTGTGTGTGATCAGAATGTCCGAAATGTGTTGCGCCAATACATTACACGTTTCAGATAAACTGCGTCTTCTTATTGTGTTGTCGACATTTATTCTTATTTCCATATGTCCATATGAGTATTTTTCATGTATCAAAATATAAACAGCTGTTTTTGTTTTCAAGATTTCGGCTTTGAAGCAAAGTTTCATACAACCAGTTTCGTATAGACACCACATACGTATGTATTACACAAGATAGTCCACTGAGTAAATCTTAATTGCCTGGATTGTTATGATTTTGAAAATACATGAAACTAACTATACGTACGTAAAACACTGTTCAGATTTCTACCAATTGATGGATAGGAATCTATAAAACAAAATAATTGAGCAAAGAATATTCTTTTCGATAAATTCCTCTTCCGGCTCTACAATTATATATATATATATATACACAAAATATTCAAGATTAGTATTTATATAACAATAATACTCAAGATTAGTAACTCAGGTGGATGATTTGGAATTGATAGTGTTCTCTGAGCTCCTTGGTTTAATTGCGGAGCTTTCATCGTCTTTCTGGACGACATCTTCAGCGCAGTATTTGGGATAAAGTGAAATGATTTAAATTTCTTCATGAGTCTCCCGGTAACCATCTTTAGATATTTATTGACCGTTTTCTATTGATTGGGATTTTAAACTTTCTGATCACCTGATTTACTTCTTATTAGTTGGTATATTTCATCTATATTAACGTGTTTATTAATTGCGTTTTCATTTGAGTACCAGGCTTCTAGGAATTCTCTGGCACATTTTGTGTTTCCTCTGTTTAAGATTTTGACATTTGTAATAATTAAGAGAAATGATTTAGAATATACCCATAAATTAATAAACAACATATTTGAAGACATCAAATTCACAAGAGAAGAAGAGTTAGATAACAAAATCCCATTTTTAGATGTCTTAATCAGGAGAACCAACACAGGAAATTTAGAAACACAAGTATACAGAAAGTCAACGCACACAGATCAAATACTAAACTATACTAGCAACAATCCAATAACTCACAAAAGAAACTGTGTGCAGACATTGTTTAGAAGAATTCAAACACATTGTAGCACACCAGAATTGAAAAGAATGGAAGAAAGATACTTACAAACGGTGTTCAAGAAGAATGGTTATCCAAAAAATTTCATCAAAAAGTGTTTAAAATCGAATGAAAGCACCAACAAAGAACCATCACCAAAGACCAAAAAGCAATTCATCCTACCATATATCAGAAACATCTCTGAAATAACGGCTAGAATAATGAAACCGTTTGATATAGATGTAGCACACAAACCAGCTGAATCGCTTAATTCTATCTTATGCAAACCAAAAGATCCGATAGAAAAGGGAGATAAAATTAACACCATTTACAAAATAAATTGTGTGAACTGTAACAAACATTACATCGGCCAAAGTGGGCGTCCCCTTCGAATAAGAATCCAGGAACACAAATCAGCCGTGAAAAGACATGATATAAATTCTTTAGTATCAATACATTCAGACGACCATGGACATAAATTTGATTGGGATAATGTCAAAATCTTAAACAGAGGAAACACAAAATGTGCCAGAGAATTCCTAGAAGCCTGGTACTCAAATGAAAACGCAATTAATAAACACGTTAATATAGATGAAATATACCAACTAATAAGAAGTAAATCAGGTGATCAGAAAGTTTAAAATCCCAATCAATAGAAAACGGTCAATAAATATCTAAAGATGGTTACCGGGAGACTCATGAAGAAATTTAAATCATTTCACTTTATCCCAAATACTGCGCTGAAGATGTCGTCCAGAAAGACGATGAAAGCTCCGCAATTAAACCAAGGAGCTCAGAGAACACTATCAATTCCAAGTTAATAACAATATTAGTGTTTTTTAAATACTGTCGATTTGTTAAGCATGATCAATGGAATTACAATTCACTAAAGATACTTAAATTATAATAGTAATAAAGATATAATAGCGAATAGAATATCAACTAAAATTAGGGAAATTCCACAAAAATTCAGGATAATTCAAACCTAGATGGCCAATGAGGTAAGGATGATATCTGAACTAACTTCTTTTGGATGCATAAATTAAGCTTGTTAATGTGGATCCCCACAGCCTCAACAATATTTAGTAGTCAAAATCTTAAGGCAAAATTGAGATTGGTAGGTGTGCGGTAAATGACTCTGAATGCATAGTTAACGGCAATCTTGTGGTCTGTCTCCACAAGATGTGACAGAATAGCGTTACGAATGGATTTTGTTTGACTTTTGCTTAACCACTAATGCAGGGTGATGTTCGGAAATTCGACGAGAAACACGCCTAATTGTTACGGCCTATGTAACTGGCTCACTCCTCAGGAGCAGTTAGATTGGTAGATACATACACATAGAAGAGGCGAAATTAGGCAGTTTGTCTTTTACTCGCGAACGCAGAGGAGGAGTGGTCATAAAGATACAACTTAATTCAGCAGCAGCAGCAGGGAATGCTCGTTTAACCGCATTTCTAATGGGCTGCGTTAGTATCTCGCTAGTGTTGTCCCCAAAGAACTGCATCTGTAAGAAAGAATAAGGCCTTTTTTGGAACTGTTGGATAGAAATCTTACGATTATTAATGTCGCAAGCATTCCCTATAGCATGCACGTGAATTAAAAGTGTCGATACGAGTTTTTAAATGAAAAAAAGACAGTTAAACAGAGGAAATACTATTATTGGAATATAACTAACATAACGTAACATAACATAACAGGATACATGTAACATATGTATGCATATAGGCCTAGTAATAATAATAATAATATCCTATACAATAAAGAACGAATGCATTGAATAGAACAGACATTTTAGACAGTCTGTCTATCACAAACAAGTGCAGTAATGCATTTTTTGCCTAAGCAACCATCACGTATTAAGAAGAAGTAGAACAAAACAAAAAAGAATAACATTGACAATAATAGAAAAGGAAATTAATTGAGCAGTTACCACTACTGTTGCTGCTTATCACCGAAGGCAGTAAAACGAACAAGAGAAAGTGAGATAAAGAGAAGCAAGAGGAGGAATCACAATACAACAATGTAGGAGACAAAGAAATATGTGTGTGTGTGCAATGAAAGAGACAGTAGCTTGTGTACAACCTAAGCAAACAAAAAACACAATAAACAACCATTAACGATCACAAATATGATAAACGTTGTTGGTAGAAAGAACACAGCCAATAAAGAAAAAGCAAAAAATTTATAAAAAAAACACCTATTGAAGCAAGTCAATGAGTCAATCAGACAGACAACCTATCAAAAGGACAACTAGGTAAGGTAGCTTAATAGTAATTATAGCTAAGCTTTATATTGTAGTGATCAGTTACAACATTAACAACGAAAAAATTATTATTAATTTGATAAAACAAACAATAAGAAGAAGCATAAAAAGAAACAAAAACCTATTTAATCCTAATTTTGTATAGATTGCTCACTTAAATATATATATATATATAACAACAGTCAATAATATTTCACCTAGAATAATGATATGTACAAAACTATAATATATCACTAAGAGTGTTAGGTAGCTTTTAGTCGGTAGTGAATAAAACATGAAACATTACATAACTATTCATACAGATTGGTTAAACACACATAGACTGAAGAGTAGTAACAACCGCCTGTCTGTCTAACTAACAAACCTGAGATCAAAGTTAAAAACAACAACAACAACAATAACAGTAATATAAATGAAACTTTGGAAAAACAAACCAAAAGAAATTAACATTAGTCGTGAGTATTTATCATTATCTCTTGATGAATTCTATTATTCCTACTATTTATTATTATTATTATTAAATTTAATTCGTTTAATTTTATGATGATAATGTCTACGATTAAAATTATGCTTTATTTTACTAAATGAAGTGAAATGGTGATGATGGCGATGATGAATTGACCTTCGTCTAGTTGCATAATATGATTGTTTAACATTACGTAATCTTGCCAAATAAGATGATCGACGATGGATTAGCGCGGTTCGCGGTTTACTAGACTTGGAAGCTGTAGAAGAAGAAGAAGAGGTTGACGATGATGAAGATGCAGAAGGAGGATTGTCTTTTGTGTTCAACTGTTCAGATGAATTTTCTGGCTTAATATGACAACTGGCTGCTAAAATGGAAAAATTAAAAAGAATCATTTAAATAAGAAAATTCTTTTCCAGTGTAGAGTATTCTTAAGCGATACGATTTATGTAAACGCACTATGCTTTTATAGTTTTATACACTTATCAAATCCAACAATCTATACTTGGTTTGGTTATCTTTACTAATTGACTAACTTGACAACGCAAAAACTACAATATGCTGAAGAACGCGATGATTAAGTTGTTATATATAAGCTAATATTTTGTAAATTCTAATATACTAATAATTTGATAAAGCTATTAGCATTAAATAGTGAAACGTCAGTAAAAACAATATCGTTTTGTTTTTCATTCATTGGGAAATACAAAAACTCTTCATAATAATGAATATTATATACCAACACCCAATTTTTTCAAACTTGGTTTGGATATATATATATATATAACCTAAATTAAGCTTTATTATTAATAATAAAAGTTAGTGAATAACTATGGGCTTCCAGACCATGATTAACTGATAAAGTTGATTGCTACAAGTTATGTTACAGCTTTATTTATGTGGAGCATGACAACTTTAGTAATCCTGAAGGAAACTAGTCGAAATAGAACAGACAAATTAATCACCAGGGGACTTGTGCACAGTAATGCATCTTTAAACTGCCATACTTCGAAAAAGAACATATACAAGAAGAAAATATAGGTGTAATGATACTACAATGAACAAAGATATGTGCGAAAGATAGTCGTTAAATGAACTGTGAAGATCTTCAAAAGTTGGAATATGATAAAGAGGGAATACATATCTGTATCATTCCAGACCACTGCGAAATATCTCACTGAAACTTCAGCCATTTGTTCTAGAGCATCTAGAAGAGTTTAGCCATGCATTGGTGTCAGTTTTGATCTCAATACTTATAGCTTCTTTTTAACTCAATGCCAATTCCAATAACATTGCTCATTGGGGGAAAGTATTAACTTGGCATATACAGCACATGTCTCGGCTACCTTAATTAACAAAACTATTCACCACCTGATAGATACTTAACTTAAAAAAGTCTCACTATTTTTTTATATCGACTCAATCTACGGGTGGAGAGTTTCTGTCTCTAAATGACGCCATGGACATGCCCAATCTTCCAGTATGTAGAATACAAATCTGGTATAACAAGAATTAGATTTAGGAAGCGTGTTTTATAGAACTGGGTTACCGAAATAAATTACATTTGTAAGAGGACTTTTCTTCCAATGGATTAGATACAGTACTTAGTCTCATTGGACAGTAACAGACTTCGTGTTGTCTAGTTTTTACTGCTGTTTGATCCACAGTGTCGAGCAACTTACAACACATATCACATTGCAAATGAACTAATTAGACATTAGTAACTGACCGCTATAAAAATTTGTATTAATATTTCCGATTTCCGACCCTGCCCCACCCTCAGTAATCGATTTCTCCACAAAATGTTTAATTTGAAGCTTACTTAGATTCAACAATGAGACAGTTTAAATATTGCTGCAATATTATAAGCCAGTGGAATAACTTAATGGTTAACATTGAGACTAAGCTTGTTTAAAAGTTTATCATACCAAAAACGCCACTGCTAGATATTTTGATAGAAATAAAACCAGTTGCTGTTATCTTGTGCGTGGCTAACGCCATAGTGAAAATGTTAATCTACAGATATGTTGTTGACTTATAGGCAATATGACAGCAATAATATGTCTACATTGGACGATATACATTACAGATACGATGCTTCCCCATTTGGGACTGTCAAGAAAGTGTATCACACTAATCAAGGCAGTCTACTCAGACTCACACAGCCGTTTAAGGTCCTGTGTAAAGTTACCATCAGAAGTAGTGCCCCTCAAGGATATCCATTGTCTCCATTTTTTCTACAATTTCATTATAAGTGTACTAATGGATATGACACTAGTTGACTTTAGCCACTTTGTGATTGACTTGTTGCCAGGGGATAGTCTTGTCGATTTCGAATATGCAGATGACATAGTCTTTCCATGTGTCGACACTGAACAACACCTTAAGCATAAAACTTGGTAATGTCTGGCATGTGCTTGACTCCTGTCAAATGGATGGTGCCAGAGGACAGGTCATCACCGACTCCTAGTTTAAAGATAGGAAGGGAAACGGTTGAGCATGTTGGCCACTTCACTTATTCGGGAAGTTGCGTCGACCCTAATGAACTGGTTGCTGACGGATACAAAAGGCCTATGTAGCACTAGAGAACTTACGTCATCACTGGCATGGGCATGGTATCTATCAGTCATTTTTAGGATTGTGAGACATGGTGTTTGAGAGTGAAAGATATGAACAGACTAGTTCACTTTAATCATAGTTGTCTGGGTTCCATGTCCCACGTTGAGTGGTATGATATGGTGAATAATATTGAGGTTAGATGTGAACTGTTTTATATATATATATATATATATATCGGAGTGGTTTTGGAAGCTTTCTGCATTAGATTCCTCGAATAAACAGAGAACTTAGCCATAGAAGAAACACGTGATTTCCCATATGCAGAGTGAGATTTGCGGACCACATTGCCATAATGGCGTTTAAACATACCAAAGTATGGTACACTAAGACGATGAAGCGCATACAACCACATAAAAGCAAAAATTATTCAATGGATTAATTAAGCATACGAAAAAGTTTTAAGTATTGATAAACCATATCAGTGAAAATTGGGTTACGTTAATAACAATAGCATATATCAAAGACATGGTAATGGTGAATAATCTAATCAGCATTTACGAATTCATAAAATTAGGCTTTCTTCAATTTTGCGGTGCCAATGATTCAACTGAGACGTGTATGTTGTTAATGCGAAAATAATCTTAATATAGTTAGTAAGCGGGGATAACTTTTATTGAGGAAAAATGTTATGGAATATAGCATAAACATGGGAGATAATTACTTGTTTGTTCCATGGGAAATTCATATAACCCCTGAGAATTTTGTATCAGATGATTAAGTTCAACACGGAGGACGCGTTCACCTTGAAAGAAAGAAATGTATCAATTATTATTGGACTATCGTGTAAATTACTTTTTGAAAGACTTTCAACAAAGAATCTAGAGATTTTAAAACTAAATCATTGGAACTGATTAAAAATGCCCATTAACATTTTTTTCTCTCAAAAGAACAGTTACTGAACAAAGAGTACTCTTTTCGATAACTTCATCATCAGGCTTTACATTTATATATATATATATATATATATATATATATATATATATATTATAATAAATGAATTAGTGTTATGAACAACATTAATGTTTAAATAACATCAAATCAATGATAGTAATATCAACAGATTACAGTTCGATAGCATCAACATAACAATACACTGAATATCAGAAGAATTAGGAAAGATAATAATACGAATTCATGAATTTATAGTCCCCACTGAAGGCCAGGGCAGGAGTAGCGGCTGGACTTGCTTTTTCGGAACACAGAGTAACGGTTGTTTCAGGTGAATCACGATAGCCTCTATTGTTTAGAGTAGGTGGTGCCTGGATGTTTTTGGCAATTAATTTGGTACGCGGTAGATGATGGAGAAGTAGTCTTCAATGCTGGCTTTGTGGCCGGTTTGGACCAGGTGGTCTAATATCGAACTGCTGATGGTTTTTACTACACCTTTACTTAGCCACACTGGTAGATGTTCCCAAGCACGAAAAATCAAGTTCCCAGACCAGAGGTAAATATAACTCGCTCCACAAGCGCAGTTGAATCGGTGGATGCAATTAGAATCGGTTAGTCTAGGTAGTTCATCTTTCAATCGAGGAATCACCATCGGTCGTGTAGAAAATATGACTTGTAGTTTACCAGCATTAAAAGTTCTTTGAATAGATTTTCTTAACTTTTTAGTAATTATTTCACTACGTGCGTACTCTTGAATTATAACTTAAAAATCGAAACTAGGATTTTCGATGATACGTTTTTTTGAATGTCATAAGGTATATTTTTATTTGAAATAGTTAGTGTTATTAAACTAACTTACCAATGGCTTTTGTAACCGTCTTGTAAGTTATCTAAATATAGTAACTAGTGACTAGAGACTATTAGGGATATGGCTGAAAATCGTTCTCAGCAGATAATATTTGCCCTTTTGTGATTTCCCATATCCATTGAACTCTGATGTTTTTCCATGATACTATTCTGTCCCTCGTACATTTCTGCTCATCATGGTACTTTTAAATCTCTTTTTCCTCTCTCTTTTATCTCCTTTCGTGTACTACATGGAGTGTGGCAACTTGATGTGATGCACTTCTATGCAAAGTTCTATTTTGAAACTTAGTCCGTCATTTGCTTAGCTACATTCCTCTCCACGATACATGTGGAAGGTTCCTCTGTAGAAAGTTAGGGGGGCAAGACTATTCTAGAAAATTTCGATAATTAGGAGCTATGAAAATGTCAAAATAGAAGGGATTGTATGTGTTTGAAACACAGGATATTACAAAGTATTCAGAATCACACCACTTGACAGGAATTTGTGTATGTTGTCGGTTGCTAGAATAGTAATCCCATAGATTATACAAAGGTGCTTCTGTTTTTCTTCGGAAGCAGAACCAGTATTTTACAACCCCATAATCACAGGTATCCATTCGTACAATCTTGAGATTGTGAATGGAACAAGTTTTCAGTGACTATTTGTAAAACTTGCTATTAAATAATATAAACGAGGATCCTAGATGATTACAAAGCAGGGTTCAAAAGCATTGCTTTGGTTATTTGTTCATGGCTACATAAAGTACTGACTTTAGGTTGATTGTGCGTCGGTGATACAGTGGTCAGGACTCTCGCCGACCATGCACATGGTCCGGGGTTCGATCCCCTGCCGGCGCACACCTGATATCTATTGTCGGCCTGAGAAATTTGGGCTACCGATATCTCATGCTGAAAATTCTACACCTGTATCAAAAAATACGGTGTGGAATCACGCTGCAATCACAATAAAATAAAATATATTTACTTAATAAACACTCCAAACCAATGATTTTATACTTCAACTTCTGATGGCAAATGCTAAGAGTTGACTGAACCATTTTAGAATTTATTACCGAGTGTATCTATAATATTTATGTTATTTTAATAATTCATATATATACAACATTTTCAATGAAAAAAAGTCTGAGATTTTGTCCCTAAGCAATTTGCAATACGACTGCTACCATAATGGGATATCAAAGATATATTAAATATATGTACTGTATCATGTGCATAACTATGTTAACGAGACTCGAAGACAGAATATGACTTTTAAAGAAATATTAACAACTCACGTTCAAAATCTTTAAGGAACATCTCCGCTTCTGATGTAGAAAGATAGCGAAAGAATGGTTTCAGCCATTCAGGATGCCTATAAAAGGGAAAGCGATAAGTGTGGGGATAAAGGAATAAATGATGCGACCGAACAGGGTACAGATATTACAAGAAATATGCGAACATGTAAAAAAAAGACATAAGAACCACTAAAGTTTGATATGAATAGTTGCTTCAAATTTTGATGCCCCCTAGGCTTTCCTTTCAACTGTTTGGAAGATACGCCAAACAAGGCATTTCATAAAAAATACTAAGACAAGACGGGGAACAAAATACTTGTACACACAAAATTGGTTTACAGTGTACTGCGTTAGACTATGCCTGGTATATTAATAGACTTGTTGGTTGGAATTTCAGCGAACGGGTGACATGTTCGAATGTCAGACCACCTACTGAAATTCAGGAAGCTATGTAGTACCACCACCCTGATTCGACTGTGACTAATTTTCAAACGCATGGATGTACACAGTTTCTGAATTCGATTTCAGTAGAAAATCTAGCATTTATATGTGAACTAATCATCTTCACAACAGGCTTAATGATTCTCATGTGATATTCTCCCACAACTAAATCTTTCAGCTAATGGATACCATTTCTTATGCACAATATATAACTTCACAACCACACATTCGGTACAAGATGATTTGAGGAAAAAAGTGGGACTAATATCATGAAAAGTAGTGAAATGTCACAAAATTGCTGATTGGGTTGTCAATCAATTTTTCCTGAGTGATAACTTTGGCAAATACTAGTTTCTTCGAGGATATCTTGAGATACCTAAAAAGTTAGAGAAGTGAGAGAATGCATTGACGAAAGATATGAGCACCACCAAAATCAACCCCATTTGATTATATATATATAGTGGAAATGTGTAAATAAATCTTCAGAACCATTGATAAATTAAATATAATAATAATGATAATCGAATGAGCGTTCCTGAATATTAAAACTGTCAGTCAAATGACTTACGTTAAAATTTTTTCATTGAAACGACTGTGTGGTGCAGATGATACCAATCGACGATTACGTGGTGGACGACCGCGACGACGACATACAGGCACTGATAGTGGAGTTTCTACATTAGTAGTTAAACTTGTAAGCTTCTTAGGGCGATCATTCATCACAGAATTCGATAAAATATTCTTTTCAGGAGATGGATTAAGTGGTGTCTGTAAACAGGACTCGCTATTAAGTTTTTCTGGACTTGATGCACTGCAAATATTGAAAAAAAAGGGAGAAGTCACCTAACAGAAACTGAAGATTTCGAATTGATGATTGAGTAATTTTGGTCTAAACACATTTTTGCCACAAATTTAGTTGGCTCTGAACGTATGTTACAGCAATGTTGGATATAACTATTTTTCTTATTCATACTGAAAAATGTTGTAAATCCTGACTATCAAGAAACTGAGTGTGTGTTGAAAAAGACGTTTAATGAAGAACTTGCCAAACAGAGGGGAAATAAGAAGTCAAACGATGAATAAGGTAAATACTAGCTGTTTTCGAACGTTTCACCAATGAAAACGAAGGGACCATAGGCAAACCCGACCGATTTTTAAGCTGTGGAAACCAGTTTAATAAATTATTACTTCTTATATAACAAACATTAAAACCCAGTTGAAAAGAGGCTATACATAACTTTAGTTCACAGTAAAAGTTACACAACAGTGTCAGAATAAATCAGTCACAGTATTTGTTCTATAAAATTCAATAGGCTTTAAGTGATTTAGTTCATTTGACAAAAAGCTACTGTCTTGACGTGGTAGTCAGGCCTTCATAATGTAATAACACGAGATATGTCGGCTGGAACAGATGTTTCTACAGATTACGACAGGAAGGCCAACTGAACAGGTGACAGATTAATAGCAGTTACGACCACAACGTGCATTGGATACTCCATGTTGGAGGCCTGAAGGCGAATTCGTACTGTTCGCGGAGGGAGTGTAAACACAGTAAAGTGCGATAGGGTACGGCATAACAGACACGAGTGAGGCGGCCAAAAATCCTTGAAGAAATGACTAAGATTCCAGAGTAACCTTAACTCCGAACAGAAAATACACTTGTTCTCACAGGGCAAGGTTATAACTGTGCAATAAGTCTATATTAATTAAACCTATTAAAATATTCAATAAAACTGCCATGATCAGCCCTAACCTATTTTAAGGATAATTTTTATAGTCAGAATAGGTGTTAATTCTGAACAAGCATTTAACCAGGTAATCGCTAGTTAAAAAGAATAAACTACCACAATCAAATGTGCTGATACACATAATACGCCTACTTTATGAAAGGCCCAGCTCAAATGTCTGGGTCACTTCAGTTTGAGGAATTATTATTATTATTATTATTAGGATTGAAGGAATAATAAATTTAGCCAGAAACATTTATACTCAGATAAAGACTTACGGTAAGAACGTTTGGTGATTTTGCTGCTTGTTATCAGTGTAGGATACTATACAACGGTCTCGAGGTGGACGTCCACGACGGCGTCTCAAGGGTAAATGTAAAGGAGTCTCCACTTTACAGACGGGGTGAATGGGATCTGCAGTTGAGTTGGAAGTACTGTCAACTTGCGAAACTTTCTGGTTATATGGATTATTTGATAAGATTTGCTCTACCCAAGTGGGATACTGAATTTTTGATCTCAGTGTTGTGGGATCACAGGCAGAATCAGAACTAGATCGCGGACGAGTGGTAACATTACAAGAGAATGGCAGTGATTTATCGGATGATTTAATAGAGTTAAGACTGAATGGGTCGCTTAAACTACCACAAGATGTAGTAGAATTAGAAGACGATTCCACAGAACTAATACCTGAGTCCAGAATCTCAGATGAAGTGGAAGACTCAGTTGGCCATAAACCATCATGAATAAGCGATTTTTTAGGGGCAGAGACTACATCCAGGGTTTTGCTTACGCCAGGAAATTCTGGATTGACTATAGAGACCACCTTATCTTCACTTTGTTTATTCAAATATGAGGCATGGAAACGTTGTAAGATGGGTGTTGGTAATGATTCCCATGAACGATTCAAGTGTTTTGGTGTTAAAGTTGGAGACTGTGCAAAAACTTCTTCATTGACTTGCTCAGTTTTTGCAAGATTACGGTTGACATCAGCATTAATAATTAGATTGTCACTATTTTCTAATTTGTAAGAATATCGAGTTTCTGACTTATTAAGTCTGCTTTGAGAACAGCATTTCTGATTATTCGTTTTAAGTCGAGAAACACGACGGCCGCGTCGACTAGGATAACCACGTAGTTTAGTCGGATTGTGTGACTTCTCTTCTGACTGGCTGTGTATTACATCACGCATAAGACGAATTACCAGATTATGTGAACGCGCTACCCGATGACGGAAATAACGTTTCTCTATGTATTGATTGTAAATACTAATCAATGCTAACTGAAATGCTGAAATGAAGAGGATAAAATAAACAAAACACTAAGCATTTACAGATTAAATTTGTGTATCAAATATTCTAAATTTTAGGTTCCCTTGAAATCATTTTACTAGGAATAATTATCCTGTAGTAAGAAGCAAAATACTACACTGGATATATTTACATGTTTTAAATCAAAAATCCGTCGCATTATTACGTATATATATATATATATATATATATATATATATATATATATATATATAATTATTCATTCGCATTTAAAGACAAGAAAGGAGTATAGATTGCTATTGTCTCTTGTAATTTTGCCCAACTTTGAAAACATTCAGACATATAAGCCAAACGCCAGCGTTTATAAATACACTGCTTATACTTCTAAAGCAAAGAGCGTCCAACTTCAAAACATTTAAGAAATCCTCTACACGCTAGGTAATCATTTCGAATACACTAAAATGCATCTTTAAAAAAATGAATGTATTATTGGAAATACCTGCACAAAATCGACAAGACTACGGGTATATAATGTAGATAACCAGTGATTAAAGTAAAACTAAGGAACTTCGTTTTTTAAATGTTTTAGGCTACATTTTATGTGGGGATTATTATACTACACGGTTACTCAGGATGAAGACGGGGAAGTGTGAGCCTACAATTTATCGGTTGAATGTTGAGTGCTTACAATAAACATCACAGTTTTCATTGGCCTTACGATGATTACAATCATGTACATAGTCATGCAATTGTCAATGGTATTTCCAATCGATGTCATTTCCCTGCTAACTCAACGCTATTGAGTCACCTCAAACTGACAATATTCACTGACTTTTCACCATATTTGATAATAGCTATGTGTGGCGATGATAAACACAGAAATGAGTTTTGAAGTAGATAAATAATAACTGATGCGTAATCAGCCCTATACTCACCCTCGTTAAGTTGGTCTTTGTGAGGAGTACCATAAACAGCATTTAAAACTTCTTCCGCTGAGTTAATGTATTCCTATTAAGTGAATTACCAAACAAGAATCAACATACATATTCAAATTCATCCCTGTATGGCAAATACCCAAGTGATTTCTGATGACTAATACGCAAATCACAAGCCGGATTTTTTTCATCTTCACAGTCGAGCTGCTGGCAAGAATAATTATGTTCCGTGACAGATGGTAATGAGTAGGTGGATGAGTATAGTTCTTTCATAATGCCTGACATGTAGAAATTCTCATAATGATCACGACAATCCGCAGGACTATGTGACTGAAGTTGTGCAGATATCTCATCCCTATAAATAAAATAACTAATTGACCAGTCACTTACCAGTTACCATAACCGTAAGTCTCCAGTGCTTCTAGTAACTTTAATTCATCTTCAGCCAGCCATAAATTCCTACCAGGTGCTGGAAGACAGTCACTATCAGAGCCCTGAAAACTTTAGTCAACATAGAGTTTTCAACTACCTTGACTACGTATTTATGAATCTTCTTATGTTTACCACCCTCAACACCGCATATGAAACACTTAATTGAGATGAATTACATTGCATTAATCATCTTACTTTGATGCATATTTTGACTTCAGTACATTCCGCACACAAAACATAATAGCCAGTTAGTTCTTCCAAGCAGTAATAACACCGTGACAACCTGTTAAACATAAGCCAGGATGTAGCGTAAGTGTTGCACCTCGCACTTCATCTATACATTTTTCAATCGGTTCAATATCCAATATCGTTTTTACGAGCTAGTATAAACCAATTTGATTTCTTTGTACTCGCTTCTTGGTTATAAGGTATAGGTTCCTGATCTTCGGTAAACTTCTGCGTAGCTTGTCCCACCACTCGACTGTCGTATCTTTGGTTGACTCCAAAGGGAATAGTGCTGGGATTAATTATATGTGGTTTGTAGTATGAGGTATGTTAAGACTGTTACTACTGTGATTGGAGTTGATCCTTTTACCAGTTAGTCCTTCGGTATCGTTGACAAGAGAAAAGAGATAGTAATAATAATAATAGATATAATTAGTGAAGTTATTCAGACTAAGAGACAGAAACGGAAATAGAGAAGCGTAACAACAGTCAGCTCATTAAGTTTGAAGAATAATATATATATCGGTAATAGTAATAATAGTAATAGTAATTATAATATTAATAAGCTGTCAGGAGAGTAAGACGGGAGAGAATGTAAAGAAGTAAAATGACGAGTTTAATTATCTACCCTGATTGGTATGTGCGATTTTAAGGAGATAGGCCATTTGTATGCAGTCCTTGTATCGCTGCATGGTTGTCCAGCCTTCACTTGAAGGCATCGAAAGACGGTGCCATAGCTACATCTGCCGGCAAGGAATTCCAGGGACGGCAAACCCGCAGTGAAAAGAAGTGGGAGTGCACCCGGTTTCTTACCCTCTGGTGAGCTATCCTTCTGGGATTTCCACGTGGGAGCCTATACCTACTCAGTGGCAGAACACCTTTGTTTGGGTGATTCTGGTCATTTGTTATTTTGTAGGCAGTAATCAAATCTCCGCCAAGCCGGCGGTAGCTAGGTGTGAACAGGTCAATGAAAAGTGATACTTCGAGTTCGGTTCAGATCCCAAGCCATGAGTATGTAAGCAGGAATTTTACTTAGATTTTTTCGCCGAAGTTTGCTTTCCTGTATTTTGATGAGGTCGCTTGATCCAATGATATCTGAATTACCAAAGAAATGTAAGAAGCTTGGAATGGCAGTCACCTCTCTATCTCAACTTCATCGACTTTGAAAAGGCCTTCGTCAGCGTCGACCGAGAGGTCATTTGGCAACTATTTCGCTACTACGGGGTGCCACCGACAAATATAAATCTCATCCAACGACAATGCTGCATGCCAAGTAATCAACAACAGGAAACTTACGAAGCCTTCGAAGTGAGGACGGGAGTGAGACAAAGCTGTCTACTATCGCCAGTGATTTTCCTGATTGCAGTAGATTGGATAATGCTACAGACAACGGGAGATGAGGAAACAGGCATAAAATGGACTCACACAAAAAAGGACTTGGAGGATATGGACTTCGCCGATGATATATGTCTGATTTCCCACAAACTGGAAGATATACAAGTGAAAAACAACAAGCTGGCAGAAAAAGCATCAAAGATAGGAAGGAGTTCAGGTGAACATAGATAAAACAGAAGTGATGAAGATTCCTGGCCAACGGTAACAGCAACAATAACAGACAACAATCAGCCAGCATAAATGGGAGGAACCTGAAAGAAACAACCTCCATGACCTGCTTGGGAAGCGTCGTTTCAACTACAGGCGGACGGAACTGGCGAGGATATCAAAGCCAGAATCGGAAAAGCAAGACAAGCATTCGTTACTCTCAAGTCTGTGTGAAGATCAACAGCATTAAACATGAAAGCGAAAATAAGATCCGGATTTTTAACTGCAATGTGAAGTCAGTCAGTGCTACTATACGGATGGATCAGAGACTTGGCCGGTGCGTCATAAAGAGCATCTCAAACAAACTTCAGACCGTCGTTAACAGTTGTCTTCGCTCAATACTCAAGTTCGTATGGCCAGAAAAGATCAGCAACAGGCAACTCTGGGAGTGAACCAACCTAGCAGGAATCGATTGTGAAACAAATAGGCAGGAAGAAATGGAGGTGGATTAGCTGGCCATACTCTGGGGAAACCATCAAGTGACATCACTAAACAAGCCATCGCTCGAGTGGAAGCTGAAAGGGAAGCGGCTAGTTGGCTGTCAGTGCAAGGGTGACATGGAGGAGGTGATGTGAAGAGGAGATGAAGGCATGTGGGCAGACTTGGAGCGTGGTGAAAAAGAGGGCAGAAAACCAAAGGCAATGAAGACGTTTGGCTGAAGCCCTATGTTCATCTAGGAATTAAAGGACACAATAATAATAATGAATACTATTCGGTTTACGTTGTTTATAGGCATGCGAGAGACGGACACACTTCCACGTGAGATTCGTGACAATGGGCCAGTCTGGTATGTGGTAGACAGCCAACGACATGTCCAGAGGTTCAGCCTCGCAATCAAAGTAATATTATCTTTGTATTCACTGAGGTTGTTGGTGTGGACCCAACATATGATACGAAATGAGATAAGTAAGCATATAATATAGAACATATTATTTGCAGTCATCGAAAATAATAAGTGGCTGTTGTGATGGAGTGAAGAGCAGATAACAGCCAACTATCAGAAACTGTCAATGTCCAGCTCTTACTACGCTGGACCTTACACCGTCCCTGGAAGACTCTCAGAAATACTTTGTAATAACCAACGCCAAAAAACCAGAACACAGATTATCGACTCGAGAATCCTTTATTCTTACGCCAATATGTAACCAAAAATAAGATTATTTGTCAATGTAGTTGAAGATTGAACGATCAATTCATGGTTGTTTGCTCAAAATCAACTTCCCCAATTTTCGTTGAGGCATCAATACGACAGTCATCGTCTCATCGGTCGCTGTTCAGTTAGAAGTCAGTAGACAACCGTCAGAAGTAATATTGTGATTTATTATTGTAATATTTGTTCACAGACCTTAGTTGTAACAGTGTTTATATGTTGGTGTTACAATAAAAAGTCCTCGAGTCGCCAATTGGTGTTTTGGATTTTCGTCCGTTATTACTAAGAGTTTCCGAGAAACTTCAAGCGACAGCGTGGGCCCGAGCGCAGCAAGAGCTGGGCATTAGCGGTTTATGAGAAGTGATTGACAGTTTCTGACGATGGAAACAGATCTGGCGGATTCAAACAGTTGGTGAAAGTTTGGATAGTCACCGTTCATTTTTCCTGGTGCCGGTCAAGTCCTCTTTGAACAAGCAATATCTGGAACGCTTTTGGAATTGGGTCAAGTTCAACAATGCCTGGGTCAAAGAAGGGACAGAGTGTCTTGGATGCAAACAGGAAAGTAAGTCATGGTGACTTGTCTGTTAATTGTAACGATGTGTCTGATGTTAAGCATGACATGGTTGATGTTACTGTTTCGCCGTTCAGGGATAATAGGAACATCAAACTCCCTAAATTTGAACCACGGTGTTTTGATGGAAACCCGGCTGATTATTTACAATTTGTAAAGGAGTTTGAGATCATGCTGAGTAGTTTTTTATTAAGTGATGAATTGAAGTTAATGTATTTGATGAGATATTGCACTGGAGATGCTGCAAGAGCTATACAGTGCTGTAAGTTTATGAAGCCAAAGGAGGGCTACTACGAGGCTATGAGCATATTACGTCAAAGGTTTGGAAGACCCTCGATGATTGCAGGGAAATTATTCGAGGCTGTTGAGGGTAATGGTGGTCAATTGCAGGATGACTCCCAGGAACTCACTGAGTTTTTGGATAATTTGCTAATTTACAAGAATGCAATGATTTCGATGAATCGCATGAGTGACCTCAACTCGAGTTTTATACTAGAAGTAATAGCAAGACGCCTACCTACTCGACTGCAAAGGAAGTGGGTGAAGATAAGCTCCCGTATGGAGGATGAGGGTATCGAGCCAAAGTTTGATGATATCCTGAAACTAGTAAAAGTTAGTGTCAATCAATCTATGAGCAAGTTCGCCAGTCTATTAGATCTCACCCCTAGAATAGAGCAGTCTGAGGTCAAAATGCAATCATTGATGACGAGTAGGCCTCAGAGAGGTGGATATCGAGAAGGCTCCATGATGTCTAGTAATGCATATAGACCTAGTGAGTGTAACAGGTTTCGTGGTAAATCCTCAACAGATAACTTACAAGCTGCAAGACAAACACGGTTGTGTTTTACACGTGTGCAAGAGGTGCATACAGAGGTGAACTGTGAACCAGTGAGCAAGTTCAGTGATAAGCTAAATGTAAACTCCAGGCCTGACTCCGAATTGTGTGACGATAACGGTGTGGTCAAGAAGTCTGTAGTTGCAACTGGTAAGCCGTTGTTGAATAGAGTGTCACAGAATAGAGTTACTGCTTCAGAGTGGAGTTCTGACTCCACAAGTTTACAAAGTATATCTAGTGAGAGTGAAGTTATAAAACCTTTAATGATTTTTGAGGAGGAACCAAAATTGTCTACTTCTGTTATTAAAGAGTTTGAAAATGATGAACTTGACGGTAAATTGAATATTTGTGATAATGATCATGATAGTGCAGATTTGTCTTTGGTTGATCATTATGAGATGGAGGATATGCCTACTACTGCTAAGTTAAATAAAGGTTCTGTACAACTACAACGTGAAGTAGAATTGAACGCAGATGCAGTTCCAGAAGGTGTGCATACTTGTGAGACAGTCAGTGTAATTGATCAGCATGTAGCCCACCTATCATCAGATGATAGTGCTAAACCCGAACTAGTAGTGAAAGACAGCAGTGGTGGTAATCTTGCAGTTGGACAACTATCTGAAAGCCGAGAAAAAACAGCTTCTGATCCACCGCTAACTTCATCACCTTGTGTCACTCA